CTCTGTGTAACCCTCGTGTATGCAGCTTGTGTTCGCACCTTCTTCGATAGTGCGGGAAACTGCCACTGCTACCGGAACAAATTGTGATGGCGTAAAACGCGGAGAAACGCCACGACGATCACGAGGCAAAATTATGTGTACGCGACAGCATAGAGCCGGCTCGATAGAGAAAAAAGTAACAGGAACGTGCCGCGTGCGCGACGCCGATTGTTTCGTACTATTCACCGCCGTCTTCTGCTATCTCACTCCTTACGGCCCCGAGTTTCCTATATCGTGTGAAACAAACGACTACACCGGGATCGATTCACTGCGACGCGAACGCCCAACACGCGCGTTCCACTGTACGAAATACGCGTCAACTATCGTCACGTAATAACGCTACCACACGAAATGAGAAACTTTTTCCGGCCAAAATGCAATTACAGACACTCCGGTACTCCCGGCCCAGACTGTCATCGATTGTTGATGAGCGTCTTCGCCGATCATGTCTACTATTAGAGTAACTGTAGCGCCATCTAGTGATAGTAATGACGAAGCTCGTGTGCACACGGGAAGGGGCGAATTACAGTGGATAAGTAGAAGCACTTCTTATGTCGATAAATTGAGCACAGGAACTCTAGCGATGAGTTTCAGTATTCGGTTGCCAAAACGGAATCTGTTTTATCGAGTGAACACGGCATTGAAGTATAAAATAGTTTAGTTTCTTTTTTTAGCAAAATACCATTTTCGTGTGTCATCGATATATTTTCAGATGGATCGAATTAAATATATCGCGGTCGATTTTCCAATAACGAGTGAGTTTTTTTTTTTAATCTCACGGGACAATGAAAATTTATTTTACGAAATATCAAGATTAGTGAATTGCTTATTAAGTGTAATAAATTCCCTAGTGTTTCTCGTAAGAATAAGGTTAACTGATTTCATTTTGTAGCAAATAATAGATCTACGAAATCTAGTATATCGTACTAAATTTGGATTCTTTTGTATATCGGATACTTTCACTATCCCTTGTTATGAATACGAGAAAATTATTAGTTACAACCAGAACGTGGCTTAGCATTTGATCGATTACATTCATGTATAAGCCCAAAGATCAAAGTTAGACCGATACTATCTTGACCGCTTTTAAGTTTCTGGTTTATCTGACGGAGCAGCTTAGAAAAATAGAAATCACAATGTAATACGTGTTAAACTACTCCTTATCTCGTGGCATTTAAGCATCAGTATCTCACGCAGGACTGCTCATACACAAAGACCATGGTCTACCGAAACATTTCCTGCATGCTTAAATCTTACTCATTCCTGATAGTGATATGACTAATTGCAACGATAATCGTAGCACACAATACCGTTTGAAATATTTTTTCGCGATTACGTTACTTCGCTATTTCCTAAGGTTACGTGACACGAGAACATTAATTTTTACCTTGCCTTTTAACTATTCCAAATAATTATCATTTCAAACAATTATCAATTCCAAATAAAATGCTCGTTTTCATTCCCACGATGAGGTTATGTCGGGAACAAAGCTCTTTAAAGATGGGAATATTATTATCGAGATTCTACTGTTTTGCATACAATAGTTTGTTGGACTAGACATCTCGCCGAATACACGCGAAGAATCGTGCACATTGTTTCTCTGCCTTCGCCGCATATGAATACCAAAAAAGATTAACGAAATTTAAACTCGCCACCTTAAAATTTATAATTCCGTACTGGCGCCCGACTGTTTACGCCCACGCATCATTGCCCACAATGCATCGTGCACAAACCCGTCCGTCTGCCACTTTAAAAATTGTTGACCGCAGCTATGCTAAATTGTTCCATTTAACGACTTGTCAAATTCCTCACTTGAAAATATAAAATTTTATTACCGAACAATAATTCAAACATACAAAATATAAATTAATTTCAACAACAATTGTCAATTATTATGCAACATCTAACCTATTCCTAACCTCTTCAACCAATAGGACGAACGTATTCTCTTGTAATGAATGTAATCGTAACAGCCTTGGCAATTTACATTCCTGTCGATGCTTCCAACGAAATCAGTTTCTCAAGCAAAAACAATGCCTTTGTTCCGTTTTTCTGTCAGCTTTTGCATTGCCTTCCTACTAGTCGTTAACCTTGGCAGGTACAAAAGAGGATAAATACCAAACGGCGATAAAGTAATTTCAACTTTAACTTCCTGTTAGTTGCAACAAGCTACGAGCAACATAAACTGCCACATCCCCTGAAAGAAATTCGCATACTTGATTGAAACTTTCAAAAAAAAAAATACACAAATAAAAAAGAGCCGCATACCGCTGCATATAGTTATTGTCGTGAAAATTGATTGACATTATGTACACGTATGTAGCACGAAAGTTGCATATAATAGCGTTGTTTGTGTGGTCATCGTGCCAAATTTATTAACACGCGTGTTCATAGAGGCGGGACATGTATCCTCTCGTCGACCACACTTTATCTCCTACGTTTGCAAACAGCACAAGCGAACCGAAACGCACGTGCATTTTGCAAGAGGCAACGGGAGCGGGTATTGACTCATTTCGAGCAACTTCCACGGCTGCGTTGTTCGAACTTGCCCGTCGCAGCTGCGACCAAGACCAGAGTCCAAACGTGGTGCTCGATTCCGAGATCTCTCTTGGTATTGTTCGCAAATTATCCGATGACATTTTACAGTTAAGCTTTTCCTCCTTTGTTTCAGAAAATATCGCAATGTCAGCAGTCACGTGACGTTATCTCGTACGACTTTGCGTGCCACGCCGTTGCGGAAAGAGCACGCAACGACTAATGAGCATATCGGGGGTAACCGAGATGGTAATGCACGTGTAGCGACTCGATTTCGTTTTTCCGTAAAAGGTCGATACTCCGTATGCAATCAGGCCTCGGGAGATTATGCTCGATTGATAACTTATCGTTAACCGCCTTTTCGCTCAAACACGCAGTCTGCATTATCAGGTGAAATCGATCAATGAAAAAAAAAACAAAAAGAAGAGGAAAATTAAGAAGCCAGGGAAATCATTCGCGTCAAGTAAAGGGATAAAACTACTAGAAAATATTGCAAACTATGGTATTTTACTAAATTTGTTGGTTCATAATTATTATTATTAGTAACGACTAAAATAGATGTCTTTTTATCCACGCTACATATACAGATAAGATAAGGAAGGAAACTTCAGCCGGTTGCGTCAGTAAAATATCACTGTTTCAGTTACTAAATGCGTATATATTAATATCGAAAACTTTTCGTGGTATCTCGCGCGACAGATGCGCCCCTCGCGTCATTTTTACGAGGAGGATCAGTGTATGATTTGTTAACCTCGAAAACGCCACGAACAAGGCTTAACCTACATTTTAACCGAGAATCAGGCGAACGTGAGACAGGCAAAACAACGAGACTCGTGTATTCCCCGAGCACATGTGAGGCAGATCGCTCCCGCGGCACCGATTTACGAAACGGCAATGACATTCCATGGCGTCGTAATTTTTCCAATCAGGTAACGTTTCAAATGTAGCCGCTATGTCGAGGCCTTGGCTATAGGCAGAAGTTAGCTCAAGGACGACGACCGCCTGTCTATTCGAATTTCATCATGGTGTGAAGCTAAGCAGGTGAATGTCAGCCCCTTGCGCTTCATGCCCGTAACGAGACATATCTTTGAGGCATAATGCCGTGCTCAGTAGATGGACCTGATTTGGATAAAAATAACCTCTATACGCGTAGTTATTGGAACAACTGAAAAACTATAAGTAAGCCAATAGATTATATCTTACATAGATTAGATACAATTTTAATTATGACCATGATAACAGACTTTACTGAAATCTATATTTAATTAAATTTTAGGTTAACAACGAGAAGACACCTTCGACTAAAATTTTCTCGCGTTACTGTTCTATTTCTATACATCTTTCATAGTCCAAAAATTACACGTGATAACCTCTCTTGCTATCTCACATCTCTGGATACAAAGAAAGAAATCGTTTTATCTCACTTTGCAATCTGGTTGATAGAGTATGTCGTAGTTCACGGTTAATCATGCATAAAGGTAATAACAGGGTAGAGCACGAGACTAGTAACCTAGCTTCCTCGTGTATCTTGGCCACTTGGTTACACAGGTGGCACCTGTATGCTTTAAAGCGGAGGAAACCGCAGGTCGAAGAACGTCTAGCCATCCAGAGGGAGCAGGTTAAGGCGCGAATATCCGACATATCAGATTGGTGAGTCATGCGTCTTGTTCGATATGTTCCGGCTACCCCGTTCACCGCCCACACGACCCGCCGTATGAGTCACCGACGATTCTTGGAAACGGAGCGCGCCGCTCGTTTGAAATTTTCGTCGCCAAGCGACGCCACTGCGGACTCTTTCGGAAACAGTGTCTAGCAAACGCAGTTCCTATGGATTCTGGCATTCGACACTGCTCTGTCTGCTTGGAAAGTTCCGCTTCAGTGGCACTATCAATTACGCAATGATAGCTACACAGATCGCCAATAAGACGGAGCAAGCGACGAAATGACATTGCAACAGTACCGCGAGTCAGTCGGGGATGAAATAATTGCAAAAGGAATATCGATTCGTACGAAAGATAAATCAAGGTACGTTTCAAAAGTATGCACGTGGTTCGAAACATTCATGAGGTATGACTAAGCATAAACGAGAGATTAGGAAAGATAAATCTTAGTAATATGGAAATATCTTTTATCCCTCAGTATCATTATCTAATAGAAACAATATTAGTATTATGATTAATATATAGTAGAAACATCTTCAAGATATAATGTTTGGTCGAGTGTCATCGGGTATACACGAAAGTTATGAATTAAGAAAATATTTGTTATTTTATCTGTTTACGATTAGCACCTAATGGCAGGGCCCTGGGAGACAGAACCCACGGGTAGCAAGAATAGCGCCGGTCCTGGCTCGAGTGTCGCGAACGTGGCGCAGCGAGCGTAGCGATTGGTCGCCTGGGAATAGCTAGTGACGTCATACATGTTCGTGGAGCCTCGACGAGTAAAGAGAGTCGAGGCAGATCGTTGAGCCGAGGATTGAACGTGCGCGAACCTCGAGGTATTCCCCCACGGTATGAGTCATCGGGCGCAGTTTCACACAGTTTCGGGCAAAGGAACCTGCGATCCGTGTGTGCTGCTTTCAAGTTCTCCGTAACAAGGATCTTGAACATCTTTTTAGTCGGGCCAGAGTACATTCTTTAATAGAGGTTATAAACGCCGCGAACTTGATCATCGACTTTTCCTTTCGCGCAAGGAAACAAGCAGGCAATCTCGTTGCGCCTCGACGACGTAAACATGAAGCTTGACGTGTCGGACGTACTTTACGACAGCTCGAGCGTGTCCAGCGACAGCGGGACGTCACAGAGCTCCCGCGTCAGCCATGATTTTCTCTCCAGCATCACAAATTCGTCCATACTACCTAGCAACGTAAGTACCGGCCGAGTTCTTTATCCTACATCGGTATAGAAATGCCACGTTTTCCAAAGAAAAGGTAGATTCCGCGTATAAATATGGCAACTTATGCAATCTTCGTCCGTATATGCATACGTGTGCGCGCATTCGTGCATTTGATAAACAGCGTTCACGTGATTGGTCGAATGCTATATGTGAATTTCTTTGAAATATTCGAACAGTACAACCTTACGAATTAAAGTCTAGCAGAAATGTGTTACGTAACACTGCTTTCTCGAAACATTGAGCATTTATTTATTATTATATTTAGAATAATACGACGCATTGTTGGCGATAAGTTTTGAGGTTACCGAGAAAACGTCGTTCTTAATACCTTCGAAAAGATGTTCGCGTGTCTTCTCGAAACTCGATTATCTTGAAAACGGCAATTATCGTGGGTATTTCGAGACGTACAAACACGACGAATCCGCCGATTTCGTGGAAGAAATCAGTTCGCGTGAAATCAGAAAACAAACAGAAAGCTTTCAGTATTATCTAGCACTTGATTTTCAAGTTTCGGTGGCTTCCCTGGTAGACAAGAATTCGGTCTAAAGTTCACGATAAGACAGTAAACTCGCACGCTATCTTGGCTCGATAAAAAATTTAGAATTAATTAGATCGTGCTTGACAATCTTTAAACGGATCTGTAGCCATTCCGTCACACGAGGATGGTACACACATCGGGATCTAAATTTATATGTCGCGTGGCGTCATCGCTATAAACTGTCCGACGTAAAAACATGATTTTCAATTTTCGTAAGCTCCTACTGCCGAACCACAACAGCGATAAGCGTTGTTTTGCGAGTACAACGTAAATAATATTCGTACGAGGCAATAACAACAATTCTCGCGTCTATTCAGTAGAATGTGCATATTCATATAAACAACTTTCGTTCATACCCCAGCTGGCTGGGTTTCCATTTAAGGATCACGCACCGCGTGTAAGTATCGCCAATAAACTTCCGAGTTACTATAGAATTAGCCAATGAAACGCTGTCTTATACGTTATCGTCCATTCACTGATCTCTGCACATAAACGATTGTCATTGCGACCAGGTAGCATAACAACGCACATTACGCAAAGCTATGTCTCTTAATAAACATATAGGTATCTTTTAATTCATAAAAAAGATCTTTTTTAAATTAATAAAAAGGAATTACAAAAATTAACAAAAAAAATTAGGAAACCCTCGTGACGTACATATTCTAGAAATACTCGAGCGTAACAAAATTTTTTCGTCTCTAAAAATTTTAAAATATCACCGAAACAAAACTATAATTTTTTTTTCGTAAAAAAGGGGATCTAACTAAAAGTAAAATTCTCTAGATTGGCCAATTCTTATCCAACGCTTAACAAAACAGGTTCTATCGTAGAACACGACGTGTATATTGACGTCGAACACTTTTATAGAAACGAACGATTACGCTAATTTCCATTTTCTTTCTCTTGCGTCATTCTTGGCAATAAGTGTGTGTAAAAATTACGTGCGTTTTCCACGTTACATAAAACGTCGTAAACAACGAAAACGGTATACTCCAGCGGAATATAACGAGGCTAGGTGGCGAAACGATCGGATCCTTAGATACAGACCCCCCGTACATTTCGTCGCGGCGATCTCGGCGGAGGGTTGGCACCCCCGTCGGCTAGTTTCCCGTTTCACCCTACGTATAAATTCTGTGGCAGACGATGGTATTGATCTAGCATTTCGACTGGCACGGCTTCTGCTGTCCCCAACAGCTGTTTTATAAAGAACCCGTACTCGGCTCGTGACAGCGCGCGGTCATTTAAAAACACGCGCGCATGCGCCAACGGCCACGCACACGTGCGTGCACGGACCTTACGCTTACGTATACAAAAAAACATAGATCGCGGTGTATATTGCGCAGCATTAATGTTATGAACAGATAGTCGACCGAGCAGCTGTTGTCACCTAATTATCTCTGCCGCCATTAACGGTAGGGTTCAGACAAAGAAATCAACCGATAAAATGCAAATAGTTGCCGAGGAGAAACATTCACGAGTTCGATCGGGAACACTTTGGTATATTCTGTGAAAAATAATTCCGTATACGAGGTTGCGAAAAGGAAGGAGGCTTCCCTCGTTGTGCCACGAGGGGTCGGTACGCGGTGCACGGGCGGCGACCATGTTGAAATATTAGATAACTGGAAAAGAAATGTACCGCACAATTTATAGGGTATTGTGATTAAGTCGAGAGAAACTGGAGTTTCAATCATGGGAGCTAGAATTTATCCTCTGTCTTTGTTCTTTAACGTTTGGCATTGTTCGTGATAAAAGAAGGTCAGATTTGTCGGGCTAGCCCATGGGCGGCGGCCATTTTTCGGGCACCAGGCTTAGGGAGAAAGTATCCGCTAATGGCCTAGATAAGTTCGGCTAGCAGAATAGTCGCATGTCGATCATTCTAATCTCTCCCGATTCTATTGTTTTCGTAATTACCTCGCAAACTATGACTCTAATTTAGCTCGAAGCGTTAAACGAGTCACGATAGCGATTATGATTTCCCGCTAAAGAAGCCATGAAAGGCAAAACTGAACCTTGTTCGACGGGATTATCTGCTACAAGCGCGTCCAACTATTCTCAGAACTCGAAGCTTTCGATTTGTTGGTGGAACGTGATGCGCGGGAATCGGTAAGCATTCGATCGGCAGCAAAGTCACGGAGGCATAATCTTGTTTCCTGGTGCTTCCTTGCCCATTGTATTTCCTTTTATTCCCGATAGAGAATGCTCGGTGTTCGTGTTTCACTCATGGCGAGAGTAAAGGCACGCGGATCCTTTGACGCAGCGACGAGAAGAACCAACTGATTCACGTCGGTGTGCGCATGCGCGTGTGATTTCCTATTCCCCTTTGTTCCTTTAAATATTCAAAAAACCGCCGTTGTACCGATCGGTTTATGCACAGTTTTCCCCGTAGAAAGGCCGATCAAGGCTTCCGCCTTTCCCTCGCATTATTTTCGGCGGCCATTGTTATGCTGCGCGCGCATCGCGCGCCGATCTTTTGGTTTACCCACAAACATTCGATTAACCCCGCTGCTACGGCCGCGTGCTCATTAAAATGTTTCTTTGTTCGTCGCGAGAACAAAGCCGTGATCCGTTCGTGTCGTCGTCGTCGTCATCCGATCTTCGATTTTCTACTTCTTTGTGTGTGTCGTCGTCGTCGTCGTCGGTGAACGTCGCCATAAGCGATTAGTACGAAGTCGTCGTTCCTCTCTTGCTACGCGTTCCGCGTGATTCGAAAATTTTCTCGCGTCTTCTTTTTCCTGAAAAAAAAATATGCTTGATTCCTCGTCAGAGTTAGTTGGTCAGTTGGTTAGTCGGTCTTTAATTAGCAACTGGCAATTAGTCGAAACGCTTTTAGCTTGTACGCAAGCGACCTTCGAGGTGTAATTGAAAAGCAATCTAGCGAGGCAAGAATTTCTACCTGAGATAATTAGAGCGAATTCCAGCAAAATGGTGGTAGGCTAGGATCGGTTCGATCGATCTCGATGAAGCAGATGGTTTACGATGTCTCTGTAAAAAAAAGAAAAAAAAAATTGTTCTCCTCGATGCAGCATAGATTTTGATTGGCCAAGGGGTCGTTCGGAAGGTTTATTATAGACAGCTCGAAACTTGCATGAATCACACTTTGTTGACACGCTACGCCTTTTGCACGAGATTTTTCACCAAAACAGGGTCATAAATCTGCCAGGATCCGTATTTTTCTCGACGCGGCTTAAGGCACTGATTATGTTTCCACGCCCTAAGCGGGTCGAAGGGCTACCTTCGCCCTATTGAACTCTTGCGCGTGGCGTTATTTTTCAGACGTGCAAAACATGCTCGTAAATCACTATGCCTGGGTCCCGGGGCTCGCGACATACCTGTTCGAACAATGCTAATAGCGTTCTTATTAAACACGGGACTTAGAACAAATACAAACAGTATAATTTATTTTCACTCAACTATCGTCCTTTCGGTAGTTGACAGTGCCTGTTGACGTGCAAAAAATTTACACAGTTCAGTAACTTGTAAACAAAAATCCTTCATTTGCAAAAAAAGAAGAGAGAGAAAGAAAGAAAGGAAAGTAATGATAATAATAAATTGATAAAAAAGAACAAAATTTAAAAACAATGTAAAATGGAAAGCAATAGTAATAACATTTTATGGTCGTCAGTGTTAACGCTGTATACCTCACCGATAATCTTCAATAATTTTTCTCGGTGCATTCTGCACACGGTAGCGACTGTAGCCACGCGTGTTGTTCTTTTCTTTCCCTTTTCTTCTTTTTTTTTTTTATTCTTGGACAAAGTACATTCACACGTACGTTGCACCGACCGACGGAGCCGAGACGGGTTCGTTGCACGTGTGTTCGCGGCGTATATACGTATATCAAAACAAGAACAAAGAACGGTGCATGCACGAGGGAATTCCCGACACCGAAATAGTAAGGAGCGTTGTTACTCTTGTGACAAACGATCTCTCGCAAATGATGACCACTCAACGGCGCGATAAGTTTCTCTATTTTCGTTGCTCGGCGACCCTCGAATCTGCGGGCACAATAAAACCACGTGTCAGGGGTACGAACGCGTAAAAACGCGGAGAAACAACAGCAACCGTACATAGTAAATCCCTCTTGAGTAATTCCTTGACATATTTCCAGCGGTGCCATGCATTGTGTTCAACTGTTACACTTTGTATACTATACGCCATGTGGTTTTTGAAAGTGATAAAACCACGATAATTATTGTTTCCAAGTATTTATCCGTGCATGTTGTTCGCATATGCATCATGCCGTTGCCTTGTTCTATCTGATTTATGGTGTAGATTGCGGTTAAATTGTGCAACATTAACAGAGGTTATGTAGGTATTTTAATGCAATGTTAATTAACGAGGGAAAGGGATGAGTATTCCGTATGCATTTTCCAGCATTATATTAGTCTTTCAGAAGGTTAAGACAGAGACGAAATAATTGCTTCTGTGCTTT